GGAGCGGAGAGTCCAGTGAAATACGGTCCTAATTAGTGGCGACCCTGTGCCCATTTCAATTTCATTTTTTATTCCGCTCGCGCTGCACACAAAGGCCAAACAAAACGAGAAATTTAATTATTTATGAAAACATGAAAAGCAGCCGCTCTGCCTGCTAACATTTTTCATTAGAGCCGAGAGTTGGCCCCTCCCAACAAAAAAAAAACAAACGAAAAAGAAGGAAACACAGTACAATATAATTGCAAAGCTAAACCCAAACAGCAACCAACTTTGACCGACTACGGCCTGACCGCTATTGTGGCCTTGAAGCGACTGCAAAAATGGGCATAACGGCTGTGGAAAAACGGGGTCTAAACTCACATGTAATTTGCTTTTACCCCGAAAGTTCTGAGTTCCCAGTTCCGAGTTCCATTTTCAGCATGCAAGGCAAAGAGCAAACACCAGTACGAACATCATAAGGCCGCGATATATTAAACCCACACACGCGAGAGGGCCAAGAGCAGCCGAAAGTGGAAGGAAGAGGGGCCCATCAAATAGCTGCGGTTGCTGAAAGTCAAAGTGAAAGTACCAGTATCACGGAAGCCCCGAATAAAATGTCGGCCACATTATGGTAATTCACATTTGATATGTTGGCCAGCAAATGGATCCTGGTTCCGCTTCTAGATAGCCGTGTGCTACATGTGTCTGATACTTAAATTTGATTGATGTTATAAGCGGAATTCGGGTCTGATGTGGAATAATCACTTAGGCTGGATGACACAGAAATGCCCTTTTTATATATTTCTAGTTTATTCTAGGAATTAAAAGTATTTTCAGAAGGATAATCCTATTATTGCAAAGATCAAACATTTAATTTGGATAAATTCGAAAGAGGATACCATTATTACCCTTTTAACATACAGAAATACCTTTTAAACTTAAAATCAATTGCAAGGCCTTTCCACTTCTGTCAGAATACTTTCCTCCCAACCCAAACCAAAAAAAATATAGAAAGAACAGTGTTGGCTTAACTATTTACATTACAATATCATGTTATATTGTGTTCTCAAACAAGCTGAGGCTAAATGCCAATAAAACAAGCTTTTTAAAAACTTTTTCAGCTTTACATCCTTTTTTCATTGTTTCATTTTTTCGCAGGCATGTGTATCCTTTTCCATCATGTGTGGCTATCCTTCGCCGGTCGCTCTCATGTATCTATGCATGCAAAATGCCCATTTTGGTTGTTGGCTTAATGTTCCTTTTTTCGTATTTTGTATTTTGTATTTTTGTAGGGGCCACGTTTAGCCTTCAACTCTGGCCGCTGTTGTCTATTGATTTTTTCGGGCTTGCTAGTAGTTTCGCTACAAGGTTTTTAATATTTAAACGCCGGCCATGCCGTCTCACTCCGCCAGTGTCTATCTCTCTGTTGCGCAAACACAATTCGGAAATGACCCAAAAATGCTTAAATCTCAATAAAAGGGCATTTTGACTTGAACTGTCAGTCGGTGAGTGAGGCGAAGGGCTTTTCTGGGTCGATGTGTCGGGTCGTCGGGTTTCGAGTCGGATGGAATTGGTCGGCTTTTGCTATGGGAATGAGTATGAATGGGTATGGGTTTTCGGCTTTCGATGGGGTCTGGGTCTGTTGTTTCTAGTCGTCAACGTTTTCTATGCCAAGTACTCACACAGTGGCACTCTCGCAGCCTGTTGTTAGCTGGCCAAAGTGAAATTGTGTTAAAAATCGCATTCCTTTCTGTACTTCTGTGCAGCGGAAATTGAAAATAGCGTCGCGTTGTGTGCCACTCTCGTCCTTGTTGTTGCTGTTGTCCCAGTTGCTGTGCGAAATGCTCATATGGCATGAAAATTTAATTGGAGTAAAATGCTGCTGCACAACTCTCAAAAACTAGTTAGAGAGGGCAGAAACGAAAAAAAGGAAAGCGCAGAAAAAAAGCGAGAAATCGCCAGGAAAACTAGCACATAAATCAGCGAGAGTTTCCTTTTTCCCCCGCCACCTTTCACTCCTTTTTCGCTTTTTCCGGTTTCCAGATTGAAATGTGCATACGGCATTAGCTTTAAATATGGAAGAAGCTTATATAAATAACATGAATCTTGTGTGTGCGGCCAAGTGGCAACACAAATGTTTATTAGTCATATTAATAGAGCTGCTCGAAATACCCTTTTCGTTTGGGTACATCTGTTATTCTCTTTTTTGGAAAGTATAAGGGATTTCATGTATCAAAGGAGAAATTTACAAATTAAAAAGTAACTTTTAAAAAATTCTAAAAAAGTTGTTTTTATATTTAAAATAAACTTTAATAGATAAATCATCCATCGAATAGCGGCATTTGTAAGAAAACTTTCCTTAATTAAGCTACAATCCTTGCCTATTGCATACTTTTTTGGATTAAAAAAAATCATGGAAAAGAAAAACTAAAAACACCTATGAAAATGAACAATTATTTGGCTTAAGATTCTCTCGAATAAAGTAAAGAGGGCAATTTTATAAAGAACAAGGAGGACTGTATGTAATTTTCAGAGTTTGACAGTTAGGCATTAGAGTCCAATCTCATTTTTGCAGATTTAGCAGGTGGAAAATAAGCTGTTTACCGTCTGATCACAAGGACACAAACTATCCTTACAGTACTCCCCAATAAATCATGTAAACTAAATGTTTGTAGGCCAATAAATATTATTCTGAAAAATGCTTTTAATCTTAAATGAATATTAAACTCGACAATGAGTAATTACCCTTACAATATTTTTATAAATTAGTTTTAAAACAACAATGCAGTAATAAATTTCCGTAGATCCTAACCGAATAAAATCAATGGGTGTACTTTCCTCAGTTTCGAACACTTCCTTTTCCGATTTGGCACACTTTCATTTCTCCACACAGACTCGCACACACACGCTGGCACACACTGCAAGTAACGCCTAAAGGCTGACAACAGAAAACAAATTTATGATGACCAGTCGGGGGAGTTTGGCATGCATAAAATGTAACGATATCCCAGCTGAAGCCAAAATAAACACTTAATTTATGCCAGAGAACTCGGAACTGGTCCACGAGCGTGGGCCCGAGTGGGTGGGCTGCAGCAGTCGCCTGCGGGGTGCACTCTCCTGATAAATCAAAGCCCGCAAAAAGTCTTTGACACTGCTCTCGGCCATGGTCGAGTGGCTGTTGGAGAACTACCTACATTGCCACACCCACATTTCGTTGACTTGTATGTCTGCCTCTGCACTTGGAAAAACCATCATTGAGTTGCAGCATTGGTATGGAGGGCATCTCACTAAAAGCACTCATAAACAGCTGCAAATTACATCTGAAGTTCTAAGAACCATCAAAAGATGTTTGACACATAAAATGATTACTTATGGAAAGTGCCGCTTCAACTTCTCCATAAATAAATATTCAATTTACCTAATGCTTAGCATTTTCTTGTACTTTTACTAAGCTTTTAACGAAATAATCATGAAATCAAATATAAAACTCAAAATTTTATTTCTGTGCATTTCTCTGGAGAGTCTAAAACAAAAACACGTTACGTGCACACATTTTCTGCTGACATCAGCTGTTTTGGCTAGAGCTTACGGCTTAGATTTTAGCTCTGACCTCGTTCTCGCACGGCCCACAAGCCAAAGTAACAAACAAGTATAAAAACACAAAAACACAGAAAAAAAAAATAAAAACAGAACAAAATACAGAAGAAAAACCCAGAAGACAACGCAAGAATATGTTGTCCGATGGGCAAATATTTGTCGTAATGCGTAGAGCAAACAAAGTGCCTGGCATGATGAAAATATATTTGGGGAAAGTCTCGGAGCGGCAAGCCATAATGCATAACTCATACGCCACGTGGGCGTGAACATCCAGTTGATGTGAGTTGATGTTCTCCTCCCCTTTCTCGTACTTGTACAATGACAAAGTTAAACAGGGGCGAATGTAGATACCGCATAATGGCTCGTCATCAACAATCTTTAAAGCGAAATTAACTTGAGACGAGTTGAGAGTACATTGATAAGCAGAAAAGTTTCGGGACTCCTTCTAAAAACATTACACATTAAATATATTACAGGAATTTATTTGATGTCATTTCCATGAAAAGCAGAAGAAGTTAACCATTTTAGAAGTAAGTAATTCTCAGAACCCTGTGACTTCCTTGAGGACTCTAGCCGCTTTTTGTTTCCAAACCGTTTCAAGAAAAACTAACATATAAATGAAAGAGTTTTTTAATAGTTCACTTGCTATATTTTTATTTTCCTATACTTTTGTTTTTAAAAGACTTTTGAGTATGTTTGTTTCCAAATTAATCAGAAATAAACTTAAACTTCACATCTCAGCTCAAATTTCCAATATTAAAACTCCATTGACTGGCACTTTTCAGTACTAATCATACAGCCTTATCCTTTCCCACAGACCCACCCGTGAGTGTTATCCACTCAATTCCATTAAGAATTTGCCTGCCACAGAGACTCGAAAACAAAGCAGAAAGCCACATTTTCATTACTCAAGCACTCGGCCCGGAAATCTGTGCCCTGACCTGTCTCAAAGTTCGTTTGGCAGGCCTACCTGTAATGCAGTCACAGGCCGCAAATAATAGACAAAAGCCAAAAACTATGTCAGCCGGGGCGCACGAAAATAACCAATACAAAAATAATCCAACAGTTGATACTCGGTTCGTTGTCCTACAAAATACAAAAACCAAAAACAAAAAAAAAAAGAATACAAAAATCCAGCGACAAGAGGCTGCCTGCAGACTTGTCTTTGTAGCCGGCTTAAGGATTGCCCTCCCTCTATATATATCCGCCTTTATATAGAGTACATAATGTATACGTGTGTGTGTGTGTGTCTAACCGAGGAGATAAGCTTGCACACACTGATACACACACGCAGACACACACACCAAGGAGGGCAGCCTTTCTCGGTCGGATTACCTCCTTTCCACACCGGGTTGTCCCCTGCCTTGCAAATGTGGCACGTAAGGAATTTTCGATTTTTTTGACTGACTTGGCACTTTGCTTACTTTAAGTTCGCTTCGTTGATGAGCTGCTGATGACTTCGAACTGCCTGCGAAAATGCTTCGTTTGTTTTTATTATTATTGTTTTTTATTCTTCGCTCCGTAGATCCTTATGTTTTTGTTGGTGACATGAGGCGTCGGCGACCTTGACTGTCAGCTGCACACATTTCACTGCCCAGGCCTCGGAAAAGAGGCTGCTGCTCTTTAAATCTTCACTGTTTCATCAGCATTTTCCTTTTTGTTTAAGTGTGGCTTGACTGCGGGCAATCAATAAAACAACACTCCGCACACGTTGCGTATACGTAACGACTATCTGCTGATTTGGCACAATTTTCCTTTGTGGAAAAACTCACAAGAACACACTGTACGCACTAGAGCACTCAAAACTCCTTCGATTGGATTTCGGAATAAATTTTTATATTTTTATATTGCTGCATATTTAATTAATTTCTAAATTTAACCGCTAAATGACAACGCGCTGAGGCGATTTTCATGCGATTCTCAAGACTGCGCGCTGGGGATTCTGCACGTAACGCGTCCTTGTTCCAACTACTGACGTTCGAACGTAATGACTTGGCCACAATCTCGGAATCCTGGACGCCCCGAAAGGCAGGCTAAAAAGAAGCTTTTGCCCCGCTCTCTGACTTTTCCGCTTCTCTCCCATTTCCATTCAGCGGATTTTCTGCCCATGCGCAGCTAACAGCATTTTCTCTCTCTGCACGTGCACCTTACTTTTTGGTCTCTCGCTTTGGCCTCTCCACGGTTTTGTTTTGTTTTCGCCATTCGTCGTTAGGCAAGGTTAACAAAAACAAAGCTCTGGCGTCTGTGTGAGCGTTTGCCAGCTCTTCGATGTGTGTGCGTCTGGGCGCCAACATTCCAAAACATCTGATTGCTGTCAAAAAATGTTGCATGCGTCAGGGATTCGGTTGGACATGCGCATTTTTCCGGGGCCATTGTGTTCTCGATTTCAACTTGACTCCGGTTAATGTGGGTTAATTTTGGCACGGCATTGTGATGGTCAGGTGAGCTCGGATTTTCCACAATGCCCGAAAGTTGAGAATCAAATTGTTCCTAAGCCAAACGTAGACAATGTAGTAGAGCACTCTCATCTAACAGTATACTGGTCTTTTGCTACATCTTTGGCATACCTTAGTTACAAAACCCCTTTAATGAGAATAATCCCAAAACAACTGAAATTGTAGGTTTCATCAAATGTTTGGCACTTAAATAGAAATCTTCTTCTACTACCCACAAAATAACAACAATTTGATTATTATTTCCTGAAACCAATAAAGGTGGTATTCATTTGTGGTCACTGAAATTACATATTTTTATTACTTTTTTAATTATTGGTGCTACATGAAAGGGATAAGTTTATACTTTTCTGAAAATGTAAGTAGGATCAAACATTCTATGTTATACTTATATGTTAAGGTATTTTCATAAAAAGTGAAAAGATTTTGTTTGATTTAAGCATTAAAACCGAAAAACTCATATTTAAACATACAATACCAAGAAGTGAATCAATATCAAATAAAATTGGAACATTGGTAATTCGCATTGGTGTTTCTTGTTATACTATAATAAGAGTATATCCTATATAGTATACACTATAGTATATACTATATAGTTTTCTTAAATATATATTTTAACAAAAACATGTTAAGTTTTCATTTCCTTAATATCCATTAAACTAAATCATTTCGATTTTTGATTATAAATAGCAGAACTACATATAATCTAAAAATTTAAAGATATTTCATCTACACTACTTGGACTTTAGATCCCTGCTCTATACATCAGCCTAAGCCAACATTAAAGTGCAACACCCATCCTGCCACCAGGTGACATCCACCTTCTGGTGCGGGATCCAACCCGAAACTAACCACAAACACCAATTACGCGTATGCCCCTCTGCCGAAAAACAAAAAATATGCCACGAAAACGGTTGGCTGGCGAAATTACGGCGGGCACCGCAAAATAAAATGAGACAAGCGCGGACTAGAACCCACTCCCGGACCCACAACCAAACCCATTCCAAAATCCGAGCCAGGAGTTGCACCTGATCCAGCAGTTAACCCCCAACTGCAGCCAGTTAGTTAGTTTCGGGGGACCTGCATGCTTGCATACATATTTCAGAAAAGTTGCGACATTTTCGCCGGGGTTACTTTTTATTTTTGAGCCGACGCGTGAAAATCCGAGAGGTGACACTTGTCCAAATTATCTTGCTGGATAAACAAGCGCACTTAACGTGTTATCAGAGGCAAACGATGCCAGGATCCAGGATTCAGGATCCAGCAGGACGAGGCTGCCACACACACACTGGCACTCACACTCGAGGGTGAGAACATAACCAGCATTGTAATCAAAAGCAGGCGAAAGCTGGAGGAGCGAACAAAACTGACATGCAGTTGACTCCAAAAGAGTCGTAGCCTAGCAGGACACGAGGAGGAGTCTCCTGCCACCATCCTGCCATGCAATGGACGCTCGTGAGTCAGAGTGTGACCGAGGTCGACAGGAAAGCAGCGCTACACCGAGAGAAATATATGCTTAAGAGGTGTACCTAACTCCATATGTAAAATGTATCCATATGTAAAGTGCTTTGCAGTTAAATGTTTATAAATAGTTTCTTCTTACCTGTTCATTGTAAGTCTTGAGAATGAGGTGCCGAATGATTTATCATTTAAAATATTAAAGTGCTCCTCAAACTTTCTTTCAGTGCACATGAGTGCGAATGCAAGACCTTGTTTGTGTGCGTCCGCACAGGCGACAGCTGCTGCATAACCCATACAACCCATGCAACCCATAGAACCCGTACAGCCCTCGCACACAGCACCTCGCACTCAAGGCGAGTTGAAAATGTTTAACACGAAAAGGAGTTATCACGCTGACAGCCTAGCCAAGGCCCGGGGCCGGGCGTCAGAGGATTCTGGGGATTCGCAGGAGTCGGCGGAGTCAGGAGTCCGGAGGCCGGAGTGCCGAGTCCCGAGTCCGGAGAAGTCGACGTGCCTCGCTGCAAAATTATGACAAAGTTCTGCGGGAGAAAAATGCCGCAGAGGGCGTGGAAAAAATGCTTTGAAATGAAATCCAGAAAATAGGGTTCGCCGGCGCTTCCCTTTAAGACGCGTGATGTGCTAAGCAAATAATGATTGCCCGAGGATAAGTCGTTGGCTCCGGCGGAATGGTAACGGTCTTAAATAAGTTTTATGTTGCTACCACAAGTTTGGGCCAAGGATGGTCCTTTAAGTTGGTATTTAAGCAGTTTTGGGAATCATGAAGTTATTAAATTTGAAGATACCCTTTCTTATAGGGCTTGCAATCTGCTATCAAGCAAGTATATACTTCTAGATCAGATATATTTGTTAGACCTACGAGTATGTAACTAATTTTGTATACTATAAACTATATACGAGGTGTGTTCAAAAAGTAAGGTGACTCTTCAAATTTCGCGAATTTCAAATTTTTCGATTATCGAAACCTTTTAGAAGTTATACGAGGTGTGTTCAAAAAGTAAGGTGACTTTTCAAATTTCAAATTTTTCAAATTTTTCGATTATCTTCAGTTTTGGGAACAAGAAAAAGTCACATGGGGCCAAATCCGGTGAATATGGTGGCTGAGGCATTATTGTGGTGTTGTTTTTGGCCAAAAAATCCAAATCCTTTGATCCATATTTTTCGATAGCAAAAAATCGCCGAGCTCGCAAAACAACTTGTAACTTTACGCCTCTCACAACCAAACAAAAGAGGATGTTCCATTGAAACTTGGTACAGATGTTAGGGAAGAGTGTACCAATATAACAAAACAAAAAAATCGATAATCGAAAAATTTGAAATTCGCGAAATTTGAAGAGTCACCTTACTTTTTGAACACACCTCGTATATACACTAAATAATTAAACATCTTAAACTAATTTAATTTCTTTACTCAGAGTTTGAGTTCAGAAGCAAGTACATAAGTACCCGTTCTGCCGTCATTTTGGCATTAGGAAAAATGTAAATAAATTCAGAAATTACCATTTATAACCTGTATTACCCCCAAGCCAAAGCGTTTTCCCAGAAAAAGCTGTGAAAAAATTAGGGTTCCGAAACCGCAGGCAGTGCGACAGCTCTCAGACAGAAGTGGGCAGCTGAAAAAATTGTGAGGCGGGGAGGAGTGGAGCTAGATTCTAGACAAAACACCACGCCTATGTACATCAGGGGGTTGTCAGCGCCTGTCACTCAGGAACCTTTTTCTGGATTTTTTCCCATTCGGCCTGCAAGTGAGATGAATGCGCGGTCGAAAAATTGAAGTAGCCGCAGTTGTTGCGCCCCGGAAAAATTAAGTTCCCGGAGTCGCAGGACTTTTCCCGGTTTTCCTCTGCCGATTAAAATGGGCTAAATCTGTCGGTTAGCCGCTGCGGTGGCTTTTAGCCACCTCACGATTGACTTTAAAATGTGGCCAGAAAGGCATTCGGGAGGATGGGCCCACGGATTATGGCTAAGTCGGCGCGACTAATTACACATGTCCCTGTACACTGCGGGAATACTTAGTACTTAATAAAATAATTTCTATAAACATGAAATATCAACAATAAATGTTAATAAATTCAAAATGTTTAACATATTTAAAGATTTTTAGCTTGAATTTAAAAGAGTTTTTCTCCCCAATCTTGAGAAAAAAGATGGTGTCAAGAGCGTATTTTTTGTGGTGCACCCTTGTTGTTTTAGGCATGGCTAAAAACAAAAACATGGTCACAAAAGGCAACTTAACCCGTTAACGCGTTAAAGAGCAAGCCGAGTGGCTAAAAGCTATGCCAAGCAGCAGCGGCCACGGCGATTATGATGATGACGAGGACGATGATGATGATGACTACGGCGACTGGTTAACTCTGCCTGACTGGCTGCCTTGGTTTACTGGTTGGTTGGCTGGCTCAGTTTTTGCCTCTGCTCAAGTTGGGCCAAAGGGGTAGTGGAATGGCAAGTCAAAGACTTTTTGAGTGGACTGCAGCACTCTGCAGAGGTTAAACACTAACCTGATGATGCCAAGAACAGCCGCACAACAGCAAGAAATGCGGGGAGGACTCCAAAAGGCTCTCTTATTTGATACATTAAAACGAAAATAAAACACTCTTTTCGGGGAAGGATACTAGATGGTAGAAGAAGTTAAGATAAGATAAGTAGCACATACTGTCCTTAGCGATATATATTTTGATTTTACGTCAATATTATTATCCAATGTTACAACATATATATGAATACATCTTAATCCGAAGGTAGATGGCTTAGAAATTCTCCTACAACTAAATAAAAACCTTAATTCCTCATCACAAACTCCTTTAAATAATTCAAGGAGAGGAAAATTCCAACCGTTCAGCATTAAAATTCCGAGTTTACTGAAAATTACCATCTAAATATTCCATAAAAAGTTTCGGTTTTCGGTCCAACTTCATATGATAGTTAAGACACCTTGGAAAAACCTCTCTGTCGCAGCCCCACAAAACCATCAAAGTGGGGTTCTGTTTATGCAAATATGTTTGGGTCTGAGGTTTTTCTTTTGCCAGGCG